TTTTATGAGAGTGGCTTCAAAAATGGATACCCAAGCGGACCAAAAATACTTTAGACGCAGCTTTTGTAGAAAAGCGGTAGATTTCTGAATTAAATCGGTAGGCGGGAGATGGAGTGAAAAAGCGGTAGACTCCCGCCTAAATCGGGAGAGTTAACATGTATGTGTTGAGAAACAACAACAACAGATTGATACGCTTACACAAACAGTACCAAAGTCTCACAGTCTGATTCACCTCGGAGGGGTAATAGACCCGTACCGTTCAGAGAACGTGGCCGAGGAATCAGAAGACAGGATCAGATTGTTTGTTATGCCTGTAACGGACTTGAACATTTTCCCTTAATAATGCCCAAATTGTAAAAATGGGTTTACAGTTTTGAAGGACTCGGAGCAGTTTTATCTCAAGAGTAGACCTAATGGGAAAGATTGTGAAAGCCTACGCATCAAGATCACTGCGGAAATCAGAGAAGAATATGGAAAGATACAGTTCTATGAAGCTTGAACTTCTGGCACTCAAGTGGTCAGTTAGTGAAAAATTTCGTGATTACCTCCTTGGATCGAAGTTTATCATTTACACTGACAATAACCCGCTTAGTTACATCAACAAACCAAAGCAACGAGTAGACGCAACAACGATGAGATGGATAGGAGAGTTAGCTCAGTTTGATTTTACAGTGAAATACCGCTCTGGTAAGGTCAATCGCAACGCGGATGCGTTAAGCCGTAGACCTACTTCACTGGAAGAAGAAGTGAAAGTTTCCTTGATAGGATCACTCAGAGTACATCATTAGAGATGTTAGATAGCCGTCTACTGACTCAGTTGAATTCAGAGACTACAGACTTTGAGATGCGGACATTGAGCGCCATGACAACGCTTCCTGAGTATATTCCTGCAGACATAGCAGCACTTCAAGATCATGACCCGAAGTTAAGCAGAATCAGATATTGGATGGAGGAAAATCATAAAATTTCGGTTGATGACTTGAAAAAGGAGCACAAAGATGTGAGAAAACTTCTTAATCAGAGAGATAAACTTTTCATTGAAAATTGTGTTTTATACAGGAAGATCACAGATGAGACTGGTGAACAGAGACAGCTATTACTTCCTGAAGTTCTGAAGAAGACCGTTCTGGAAAATATTCACAACCATGCAGGTCATCAAGGTGTTGAACGAACTTATTCTTTACTGAAGAAAAGATGTTTTTGGCCAAGGATGCTACAAGATGTCCAGAAATGGTGTAAATCTTGTGAAAGGTGTTTAATAGGGAAAGCTCCAATTCCAGCGATTAAGCCTACGATGAGTAATTTAATTGCGTATAAACCTCAAGAAATTCTGGCCATTGACTTTACTCTGTTAGAAAAATCATCTGATGGACGTGAGAATGTGTTAATTATGACAGACATTTTCTCTAAATTTACCCAGACTGTACCATGTAAAGACCAGAAAGCAAATACTGTTGCAAAAATTCTTGTTAAAAACTGGTTTGTGAATTTCGGAATCCCTAAGCGTATCCATAGTGACCAGGGACGCAATTTTGAGAGTTTCATTGTTCAAGAACTGTGTAGTTACTACAACATTGAAAAATCCCGGACAACGCCTTATCGTCCGGAAGGGAATGGACAATGTGAAAGATTCAATAGGACCATGCATGACAGACTGAGAACATTACCTCCAGAAAAGAAAAGGAAATGGCCTGAATATCTTCCATACTTAGTGTATATCTACAATGCCACTGTTCATTCATCGACTGGTTACTCTCCACATTTCTTGTTTTTCGGACGAGAACCAACACTTCCCATCGATTTGATGCTTGGATTACACAAATCTTCAGATGATGACATTGAAAACTTACCTATGGATGATTGGATACGAGACCATAAGAAGAAGATGTTGGAAGCATCAAAGTTGGCATTGTCTAATACGGAAAAATCTGCAGAACAGCGGAATCAACAGAGGAACAAGAAAGCCAGTGTTTCAGTCATTCCAGTTGGAACAAGAGTTCTTACGAGGAACCGCATTCTTGGAAGAAACAAAATTCAGGATACATGGTGTGCTACTCCATACAAAGTTGTGAAATACCTCGGTGATAATGTGTATTCCATTCAGCTGGCAGACGGATCTGGCCCGATCAAGAATGTGACAAGGAAAGAAATCTTAGACACAGCTGTAAAAGTGAATTCGAATTATGGATGTTCCAGTTCTGAAGAATCTGACCTCGAGTATATACCAGAACAGACCGTACAAGTTCAAGAGGAAGAACATTCTGCAACCGCTGAGAATTTGGAAGAAGCTGCGATAGAAAAACCGTGTGTTCCTTCAACAAGCAGGGAAGATTCAGAAGAAGAGACGGTAGAAGTGACACCACCTCGACGAAGTAAGAGAATGACGGCAGGGAAACATTCTAACCCGTTCAACTTACCTAAGAGTACCGTACCGTGCAATCAAATTTCCGCTGGACCGACAAATTTTAAAGAACTAAGTGATGCGATTGTGAATCTTGGTGCTACATTAAGTGCTACTTTAAGTGATTCGTGGGCAAGACAAAATCAGATGTAATTATGTTATTTCATTTGATTGTGTTGAATTGTGTATATATCTGAATGTTGTGATAGAAATTTTTATTTTTTTTTAAAAACCTTTTCATTGCTGTGGAAAGCAATGACAAAAGGGGGGAAATGTGTAAGAGGGCGAAGTATATTTTGCATCGGGTTCGAGATTCAGATTGAAATTTTTATAAAGTTTATAAATTATGAAAAGGAAAATTATTTTTATGTTTAAATCCTTTTTGAATAACTGAAATAACGTTAGTATTTGGCTGTAAGTAATTTTTATAATTCATTTTTTACACTTGTGAATCTGTCCATTGATTGGTCAATTTACCGAATGTACAGTAGGCCATCTTTTGGCGGTATTTTCACAGTAGATGTTGACTAGTGAAGACGTGTGTCAGCCGTGTTACTAAACGCCTTTTTGTCTGATATATGTGAGTAATGATATTTTTGTCTTACATTCATATTAGACTAGGTACTTATGTCACAAGTGAATCATGATTATTCTATATTTTGTGAAATATGCAACTGTGTAATTTCCCGATTGAAAGTTATTTATTGCTAGTCAGAAAGGATGTCCTGATGTTACCATCTAGTCATTTGTTTATAAGTATGTTTACAGGATAAAAATAATAGATGCCCTGATAATATGTTTTTAAAAGATTGTTCAATGCAAAACATTTTTATTATAATAGTGGTTCTTTGTCAAGTACATGTATGTATAGTTTGTATGAATTGAGTAGTAAGACCTGATTGTATTTATAGTGGACAGTCCTTGTGTGATGACGTCACAGTGACCGGAAGCGGCCATACTGTATTCCTTACTTAGGTTTGTGAGCTGTGTACATTTTTTATTACTTATTATATATACTGCATATTTATTTCTTGCTTAGATTATATGCTGTATGATAAAGTGTAATAGAAGTCTGACTGTCATAAATATTTCTTAATGAAGTGAACATTACTTTTTCCTAATATTGAAATGTCAAGAGGTGATATTGTACTTGTTTACATTTATTTTTTATGACTATCATTTTCAATTGTGTATTGTTTATTTTAGTACCACTGTCATCATAATCATCATAATCATCATAATTTTTGAATACTCATTCAAATCAAGAATAAAAGAAGTACGAGAACATTATTCTCTTGTGTTACAAATTAAAAATTAAAACGTCATGTAAATATCAGGTCTCTAGTATATCCCGTTTTTAGTGTGCCCCTTCGAGTCGACGTTGGACACATATTTGCCATGGTTTACAAACTGAAACTAGAATGATTTGTGAAGTTGAACATTTTCTCACAAAGAATCCGTTTGTAGACATGTACACTCATTTAATCTGCAGCTACGAAGTACTTTGTCACTTCTCTGGAACATTATTCTAAGCAGAATTATGCCGATTCATATATTCTAAGAATCTTGTGTGAATTGTTTACGAGGAAATTCTGACTGTCACATTAACAAGGATGAACACTCTTGACTCTGCTTCGGATTCCCCAGTGATAATTGTATCGTGTGATGAAAGAGCTGACGGCGACATTTTAATGTATGATTGGCTTGGACCATTGGAATGAAGGTTAGAATATTTTTATTACTTAAAATTTACACTACTGATTACATGACAGTGACATACATTGATGTTATTAGAAATACACAGACACACCGATATATTATCTGTTTTACAGTTCAGACGCTCTCTGTTTAGCTTGTAAATCCCCACAGCTTTATATTTTATTTTTTTTTAAATTTGAGGATGTAATTTCAACAGTCCTACTATCTATCATAGTGATCATACTCTATAATTCAAACTGCACTTAATGTTACAGAATATATTCAACTAATTATATATTGACAGTGTGACTGTAAGGGTGAGGGCAGATACTTATTTAGTTTTAATTTAAGATTGTGCTTGTCAAGCCGCATTTGACATTTGGTGCATCCATGCTCAGTGTTCACACTGAGAGTTTATTCAAATGTTTAATTCGAATGAATTCACTGCTCGTTAAATTACTTCCCATTAGCTCCATGTGAACATGAGTAAAGATAGCTAATTCAAATTAAATAGAAATGAATTTTGAATGTAGCTTAAACATGTTAAAGAAGCTAAGCACTGTGGGTCCAAAGTATGCTGCGGAAAAATTGTGTGGAGCAATGTGCAAGTCACAATTCTTCTTTTGCCAAGGTCTTATCATAAGAGCTCGCATTATGGGCAGGGATTTGTGCTGCTGTCTGGACTCGCTATAAATAGATGTTCTCAAAAAGTCTTAATTATTTAATATCATACTTTACTGACAAAAAAGGACAAATATTGCTCAGTTAAATTGCAAAAGAAATTTGTTTTAAAAAATTGTAATAATAGAAAGTTTGCTTTTTTGTTTGATAAGACTGCTGTTATGGTTTAATGTTTGTTTATTTGCCTTAATCATACATTTTTCAGTCATTTCATGGTGCCACCACTTGGGATGGTATTTAAGCTGCAAATATAGACTTGTACTCAGCACTTATTGCCTTTAAGAAGTATGAGATCCATTTTGTGCTAACACCTACCGTGACACAGAATCTTGGTTTATGCAGTCTCATAGGAGTAACCTGTCTAAAGCATTTAGCAATGGGATTGGAACCTGCGACGTAAGGTTCAGCTTCTTATTGATACTTTGATTTATAATATTTATTTGAGAATTTCACTCATTCACATACTTAGAGATGTTGATATATATTGTTGAATAGCATCAATTTAGACCTTTACTTAGCTAAGTAAACATGTACTGTGAGGTTTTTAAGGTCTCATTCATTTTATATGCCAGATGCATGTTAAGGAACATTACTGCATAAATGTTTTTGTCTTAAATTTGAAGCTCTTTACTAATATAGAGATATGTTAGTGTTAAACCTCTTCAAATTAGGGTAGACCTTTACTTTAAACTCAGCAATGTGAGTGTGTTGTGTGAACTTGTGTTAGCGAGACAGTGTGTTGTATGAATTTGTGTTAGCAAGGCAGTGTGTTTTGTGAACTTAATTGTGTTAGCCTGACAGTGGGTTGTGTGAATTCTTGTTAGCTTGACGATGTGTTGTGTAAACTCGTGTTAGCGGGACAGCGTGTTGTGTGAAATCGTGTATAAAGTGTAAGTGTGACAGTGTGTTGTGTAAACTCGTGTTTGCTAAACAGAGTGTTGATTGAACTTGTATTAGCGAGACTTCGTGTTGTGTAAACTCGTGTTAGTGAGACTGCGTGTTGTGTAAACTCGTGTTAGCGAGACTGCGTGTTGTGTAAACTCATGTTAGCGAGACAGCGTGTTGTGTGAACTCTTATTAACGAGACAGCATGTTGTGTGAATTCGTGTTAGCGTGACAGTGTGTTGTGTGAACTTGTTATCCTGAAAATTTGTCGTGTGAACTGGTGTTAGAGAGATAGTGTGTTGTGTGAACTCGTGTTAGCGAGATTGCATATTGTGTGAACTCGTGTTAGCCAGACTGCGTGTTATGTGAACTTGTGTTAGGGATATTGCATGTTTTTTGAATTTGTGTTAGCGTGACAGTGTGTTGTGTGAACTCGTGTTAGCCTGACAGTGTGCTGTGTGAAATGGTATTAGGATGACAGTGTGTTGTGTGAAATGGTATTAGGATGACAGTGTGTTATCGCAACAGCGTTTGGTGCGAACTTGTGTTAGTGAATAGTGAGACAGCCTGTTTTGTGAATTCGTGTTAGCGTGACAGTGTGTTGTGTGAACTCGTGTTAGCCTGACAGTGTGTTGTGTGAAATGGTATTAGAATGACAGTGTGTTGTGTGAAATGGTATTAGGATGACAGTGTGTTATCGCAACAGCATTTGGTGCGAACTTGTGTTAGTGAATAGTGAGACAGCCTGTTTTGTGACTTTGTGTTAGCGTGACAGTGTATTGTGTAAACTCGTGTTAGCGTGACAGTGTATTGTGTAAACTCGTGTTAGTGAGACTGCATGTTGTGTAAACTCATGTTAGCGTGACAGTGTGTTGTGTGAATTCATCTAAGCGTGACAGTGTGTTGCATGTACTTGTGTTAGCTAGACAGTGTATTGTATGAACTCGTATTAGCGAGACTGCGTGTTGTGTAAAACTTGTGTTAGCAAGACAGCGTGTTGTGTGAACTTGTGTTAGCGAGACAGCGTGTTTGTGTTGCAGTGTGTTAGCATGTTAATTTCAACAGACTGCCACTCCAATGCAGCTTTAAACAACACGCTGCTGTGTTTACACAAAACAAAATATCATGCAAACACAACTCTAAACAATCTGTTGAGTGTTAGCTTCACTGCATGTTGGATTCAGTGTGCTGGCATATTATCACTGACGTACCTGCTAGCACATTGTCACCTCGTGCTAGTATGTTGTCATAAATACTCTAGCACATTATCCTAAACCCGCTAGTGCATTATTACTTTGCACTTGTATGTTGTCTTATTAGGGGATAGCATAAATGACTGCCTTAATTGGTGTAAACTTCTTTTAATTGATGAAAGAGTACATTAAAATTTACAAATTATACACAGAAAATGTGACAATATCTTATCTCTCAATTTGATAATCTAATTTATAATCTCATGAATTGCACTTTTTATTAGTAAAAGAATTATAAATTAAAAAATTTCAATTTCTTTTGGATAGGTGTGACTCATCTGAATACTGAATTTTGATACCAAGCATGACCATGATTTGCCAGAAGATCATCTGTTTGGATGTGACATGGAATAAACAGCATAGTGAAAATAAGTCAAGTTTTGGTTTGTGAAGACAATTTTTAAACACACTGTGTATCATTTTTAAATTTTGATTTGACAACATAAATCCACAAATATGAACATATCAATTGCTCTCAGTTTTTCAAGTGAAATAGTTTTTGTAACAGAAATACATGTACCAGTAATTACATTGGAATAAATGTTATTTTTAAATATAATAATATTTTGTTTGTGTAGCATGTTGACCTCTTTATTAAGGTCTTCCCTTTCAAAGTTTAGACTTACTTATTCTAATGATTAAGATAGATCCTCTGTCTTCAGCAGGAATATAAGATCTTGTAATACATGTATGTGTATTTTTTACAGTATAATGTAAAAAAAATTGTTATTTTGGCACATACAACTAATTAAAGGCATAAACATGTGTATGATTCCAAGGAATTCAGTACATAGGGCATGTACATGTAGTTTTCTAAAACAAGATTGAAGAGATGTCCAGTCGCATTTCAATGTCAACTCCAAAACTGTGCCTGTTGCATACTTATTAGCCCATCTGAACTAAAGGAACCAGTAAATTTTTTAAAAACATAATTTTATCCATTATCATCATTGTCTAAAATTTCACAATATCATTTTCCAGAACCAAAGTGAAACTAGGCACAGAGCATCCTTAGTGTAGGGGATTCAAATTGTTCTTATGCAGGGCAATACCTTCAAAGAGATTTGTTTCTTTAATGCTGTAAATGTATTATATTTAGCTTGTACAATATTTGGTGGAAATTGACTTTTGAATAAGTTAGCGTAGATATTCTTATTTATGTTTATGTACAAGACTTTTAGCTTTGTACTTGATTTAGTGATTGCTGCATTCCGCCAAAGCCGCTAAAAAAGAATACACAGCCATATGTAATATGTTCATAATATACCTTTCAGAGAATTTTACACTCCTATTGAGGTACCACCAGTTGCTAGTGGAAAGCTTCAAATTCCAAACATACACAACACATTTCTGTGCGTTTATTATAAAAGTATTGTTCTACTTACTGATTGCAACTAATGAAGATTGTTCATCATTATTGTAAATACATTTGGATTTTTTGAATTATTATATAATTTGTTTATTTTATTTACCTAGTTATATTGTATATTAAATGATTTTAAAGCCATTTTTAAGATGGTAATGTAGCAAAACACTTATGTTTCTGTAGTATGACACGTTTCACAAACATAATTGCAACAAACATGATATATCCGATATCAAAAGTCATAATATTGGAAGTTAAACTGTTGTGGATACGATTTCAAGAATGCTGTTAGAGAGAGTACCCTTTAGACCTCATGCTCACACCAAATTAAAGAATTCAAGTAAGGGTTTTTGAGACAAATCGAAAAAGAGAATGTTAGCAAAGTTGACAATCTAGACAGAAACATTTAATCTTTTGCTTATCGCTAGGAAGGAAGACCCACTCGTTGCTTTGCAACGAGCTTTGCTCTAGTTATTATTATTGTTTTTTTTTCTTACCGATTTTGTATACACGATTTCTCGGAAACTGCTGGATAGATTTTCATGAAACTTTCAGGACTGATAGAACATCAGACAAAGCTGATATATAATTTTTTGTTTTGATGACGTCACTTCCGGTTTTGAGATTTTCGCGATTTGGTGATTTTCAGGGGGTCACATTGTCCATCATTTTTCTTTTTCTCAAAAAATGCTTTTAGACTGAAACTTGAGATTTTCAGCGATTATAGAGCAATATGTGCTGATGTGACACACACCTCTCTTTTTCTCCGGAAGTGCCGCACGTCAGCGCTCGCTATGGCTCGAAAAAAGTCCTATCGGGAATTTAGAAATTTTTCACACATTTTTGGCAATATCTTTTTACATGTAAATATTTTGTAAAGACATATAGAACAAAAGTTGTGAAGAATATCACAATTTTTCAAATGACATCAACGATAAGGGGCTGGCCCCTAAAATAAAGGGCCAAAAGGGGCCGAAAGTTTTTCTTTTATATCTCAAAAAGTATTGAGAATTTGTAATACATCAAAGAAGCAAAGTTGTTCAAAATGACAAGCCTTATCAAATGAGGTCGTCAAAATACGTCCGGCGACGTCACTTCCGGTCAAACCGGAAGTAGTCAAAAATATCATTTTTTGCCGTTCTTGACAGGTTTTTGGGTTACATATGTCACTGGAAGCTTAAATCTTAATTTTCCTTCCGTCGACGTCACTTCCGGTCAAACCGGAAGTAGCCAAAAATGGCTTAATATTGCAATAGTTAAATATAGATTTGGAGGATTAAACCATTTTTGGACTTCATTACTCATTTCTTTTGAAAAATGAAAGTTGCAGATGTACTTCCGGTCAAACAGGACGGAAGACCTACTCGTTGCTTTGCAACGAGCTCGGCTCTAGTTTTCTTATTATCATTTTTTTTCTTACCGATTTTGTGCACGGCTCGATGGATTTTTATGAAACTTTCAGGTCTGATAGAACATCAAAAAATCTAGAAATAAAATTTTTTAGTTTGATGACGTCACTTCCGGTTCTTAGATTTTCGCGATTTTGTCATTTTTAGAGGGTCACTTTGTCCGGCAATGTTCTCAAAAACCGTTGAAGATAGAAGTATGAAATTTTCAGTGATGATAGAGCAACCTTTGGAGAAGTGAATTGAGTATATCATTGTCACCAGAAATACGAAACGCCGACGCTCACTATGGTCCGAAAATAGTCCTATTAAGAATTTCAAAAATTTTGACACATTTTCAACGATAACTTTTTACCTAGAAATATTTTGTTAAGACATGTATAACAAAAAAGGTGCAGAATTTAAAGATCTTTTAAATGATATCTCGAAAAAAGGGCTGGCCCCTAAAGTTAAGGGCCTAGAGGGGCTAAAAGTTTTTTCTTTATATCTCAAAAAGTATTGAGAATTTGAAATATGTCAAAGAAGCAAAGTTGTTTGAAATGTCAAGGTCAATCTATTGGGGTCATCAAGAAACGTCCGGCGTCGTCACTTCCGGCCGAACCGGAAGTAGTCGGAAAACACGTATTTTTGCCGTTCTTCACAAGTTTTTGGGTAACATATGTCTCTGGGAGCATAAAAATTTATTTCCCGTTCGTCGTCGTCACTTCCTGTCAAACCGGAAGTAGCAAAAATTGCCTTATTTTTGCATTTATTAACATGGCTTTAGAGGATTCAAACCATTTTAGGCGTTTTTTTTTCATTTTTGTTAAAAATGAAACCTACTTCCGGTCAAACAGGACGGAAGACCTACTCGTTGCTTTGCAACGAGCTTTGCTCTAGTTTTTATTTATTTTCTCATGAGTTTGTCTTAATGCTGTTATCTGATTGGTCAGAATGACTGGCGCCTTTTTTTGTTCTGTGTATTTATAGCAATTCACAGTTATCGCTCTTGACTTCCTTATTTGGAAATTGTCCAGACCTATTTTATTTGGAGAATGTTGGTGCATAAAGTTGAGAAGTCGGAAGTCTTTAATATGTTGATTTTATAGACTTTGAATTTTTCTCTAAATATAATACTTTATTTTGAATATAAAAGTTTAAAAAAAAAATTCCAGCTAATTTATCTCATACATTTTAAAAATAATTAATAATAATTCTGTCGTTTTCTAAAACATAAGTAAAAAACAGATATATCCTATCCAGAGTTGGTCTATAATTGTTATAAAAACACATTTAATACTACTATTCTACACCTAATTATCAAATATGTGCAAAACGGGATTACACTATTCATAAGTTCCTTTTAATTATGGTTAAGTGTGAAAAAAACCGGCTTCAAGTGTCCAGCGAGGTCTAGAAGCTAATTGATTGTGCAAGCCAAACAACTGGTGCTAATTCAAATAACTTGACAGTTTAGCATACAAAACTGAAAACGGTACTTAATTAAGAGGCTTATTTGGTTAATAAATTCTTCATACCTTTGTCGTATTGACAAGGAGGATCTTACTGTGGCTCTAATATCTCTATGGCGATGATCTTTTAACTATGGCGCAACGGAATTTAAATCTGGCGGGTCTGCCTTGTTAAACGGCAATTGGAGAACCCTTGTTTCATGTAAAACCACTAAATACTTTTCTAGAAAACGCACAGAAAGGTTGCGGGAAAATTAATTCGAAACGCGTTAAAACTTGAAATTTATTTGAACATGTCATGACTGCTTATCTGCTTTTTTAAAAATATATTTCTTCAGATTCATATCAAAAGTTAAAAAAAACAAACAGCTGCTGCAGTTGCTCCACAAAATCGTTACACAGACTTTTTATTATGTCATACTTAGATTGGGCGAAATAATGTCACGTTAATGCAGCAGATTGTCTAGCAAAGGTTTGTCTAAAAGATGGATTATTTTGAAAAGAGTGGCAATATTTGATTTACATTCATCGATATTCAAATGCAAAAACATTCAAATAGCATATGTAACGTAAACTTTGTTACAAATGTAAAATTATTTTTTAATAATTATTTTAAAATTGTTTTCTGAACAAAAATTTAATGCTGTGTTATGAATGAAATACATGGAGATAACGAACAGTTTTCAAGCTCTGTAGTCCAGCATAGCAAATACGGACCTCATGATTTGGAATAACGGAAGACTTTATCGGCAATTCAGTGTGTATAAAGTGGCCTTGGAATTAGTATGAAAAAGTCAATCAGCATTTGACTCCATGATAAATTGCATTTGCTGACAAGGTTATTGTATCGACTGTAGATGCATATTTGTAATAAAATGATATAATATGTATATATGAATATTTGTAATGTAAATTGCATTTTCATGAATTTCTAATGTTATTAAAGGACTGGTTTTTTTAATATAAATGGGGACGAATTTAATGTTCCTTCAGATACATATTTTTCTTACTTTTTCCTGTCCTTTTTTTGTAAACATTATTTTTTGTGAGATAGGTCTGCTTGGAACACCCATATTAAATGTCAGGTACACAGGTGTTCGATTACTAATGACACTATAATATAATCGTAAACCAATGTTTCTGTACATTTCATTTTATGGAATGAGATGCAGTTTTCACTGGTATGTCGTTATTTATAATATGTAAGAATTTAAAATTTAGTGCTTGTTCTTTTATCTTATATCTTAAAAGGGACAATTTTGATTATAATTTGGTTTCTATACACTATGATGGAAGAAAATAAAATCGACTGGTTATAATTGAGGGATGAATTTTTAAACCCTTGATTTGTTTTCAAAATATCAAGTGATAATGAGAATATTTATTCTACATATTTCATTCATTTAGCAGACAATAATACACTAAAGGTATAACAATGTCACAAGAAATATATTTAAAATTAGAAGTTTCACATTTAAAAAATTGATTTACTATGTACAAGGGTAAAGATTGAAATTTTCTCAAAAAATGTATTCTGATTTCAAATTACAAAATTGTTTTCCTGTGAAAGAAGTATGCTTTACTTATTGTGTTATTATAATGATTTTAATAATTTTTATTGTTTAACAAACTTTTAGGAGAACAATCACTCTCTTAAGGATCAGCTTAAGAAATACTATTAAATAGTGTTTAAATACTGATATGCAAATCCAAACGATCTATGTAAATCAGTTCATAATCTTTTATTGCTTATCGCATTTGATCAAATATGAGCCATGGAATCTCAATAATGATGCTAATTTTTCATTGATTCTTAGATTTTCATCGTCATTTTTACCATATTCCGAGCAGAGTCCGATGCTTGGTGGATTAAAAAGCCATGTCAATACAAAGGTAAGTATACATTGACTGCAGTACTTATCATTGATCTAATTTTGTATTTTGAAACTTTAAAGACAGATGATACAAACAAGAATCGGATGCCTATAAACACTCCGACCTACTTTGGTTATAAATAATATAAATAATAAATTTCCTATATATGAGGAAATTGTAAACTTTTTAAGATGTTCAAAATTATGTTCAAATTTAATTTTCAAAATTACACCTATATATATTCAATTATCCCTATTAATCTATACATTTTTTCACTTTAAATCCCATTATTGTGAAACTTTGAATAAAACTATGTGGCTAAATTCCTTTGTATTACTTATATAATTATGACTCATTATTTTCATGATTTTTTTAAAAAATAAAAGTTTACTTGGATCATCTGTCTTTAAATCCAGCTCAAATCTTATGAAACTTGATCAAGAAAATTTTAAATTTTAAATGTTTTACTTTTTCTTCAATGTATTTAAACAATTATGTTTTACAAATCATGAAACTAAATTCATGTTGAAAGACATTTTTAAAGTTTAAATCTGAACATAGTTGGAGCCTCGGCATACTATTTTGGTACAACAAACTTGAGCTGCATGATTAGAAAAGTTCTTAAAGGCAAACGAAGTGCACCACAAAGGAATAATCGAGAATTCAGCCATCGATTCATTTACTACCAGGGAAAATACTTCGATTTCATGGGTAAGTTATTAATTTTTATACTTCAAGCATTTAAAATTGCGAATAAGTGACACGAATTTTCAAAATAATGTCTTAGTCACAATATTTTCTCTTTTTTACATTCCTAAAAGAACATTTCTGTTTTGTACCAATCTTCCTGTTTATCTCTCCAAAGCTATAAGGTTAGGTGAGTTTTTATGGTCACTTGTCGTCCGTACTTCGTTTAAATTACGCCAATTTAGATGTCTAGATGTCTTTCTGTCCATCCGTAAACGTTTTATATTTTTGAGTTCTTCACCAAAACCAATACGCTAATATCAATTGAACTAAACACAACAATCTTAGGCAAAGGAGTCATTCTATTTCCCAACGAGGTAAGGTTAAGGAATTGTAAACAAATTCTTGGGGTCAACCTTTCTGCTCAAGAACCGCTGGACCAGTAGAAAAGGAACTTTATTTGAAAGCTCCCTAACAATGGGTGAATTCACTTTTCTTCTAATTATGGTCCCAGCGATAGATTACTCTCAGAAAAGGATGGCTATAACTAGTAACATAAACATGCAGGTTCATTCCGTTTAATCAATTCCTAACCCCTGGCCTAGTTCGTGGTCACATTAGGAGATAAACATAAACTTATAAATAAGAGGGTTTTTTTTACTAATGTACTTTGAAGAGAGGTAATGTCGATCATGATTAGATCCTTTAATATGCAAATATCCTCCGTTATGAAGTTCAGATTCAAATTAATACAAATCAGATTCCTGAATAGATTGCTTGTGCAAAATTAGAGAACAAGATCAATTTTTTTTAACGTGAATGTAACTCGGGTGAGCCTTGAATCTCATGAACCACTCTTTTTAGATACATCAAAGGTCTATATTTCAAACAGCCGATTTTACGGAGACCGCTGCAGTGGTGGAATAGAGAATAATCCAGCAGGGTACAGTACGTTGAGCCTCAGTTGCATCGAGGGATGCGCCAGAAACTACCGATGTAAATATGGAAAATATAAATTATTCAGGAACAACTGCCACGATTTTGCCAACAGGATGTCTCAAATTCTCTGTAAAAATGGGTCTGACTGTCCGACATGGTGCTTGGGTAGTTGCAATGATGCTGAGTACAATTACTGAATAAGAAATAAATAGTTTGACGAAAATCATTTTTTTCTTGTTTTCAATGAAAAGTTCAAGTACATTTTTTTTAGTATTGATAAAATGATCCTTTTCTCTGGTATTACTTTCAAACGAAATCATGATTTTTCATTTTTATTACGAGTATGTTTTAAATTTCTTTTGAAATAAGTTTGAGTCTTCTCATATTTCTAAGGATACTCAAAGGCAAAAATAAATCCTTTTATGAGTTTTACATCACTATTTTCTTACATAATGCATAAAACATTTTTAGTTCCTTGAGGAAGACTTTCATGATTTTTAGACCCCTTCTCTGGGGTACATGAACAGTATAGTCATCATTCAGGTCATTTAGATAGAGCAGCACCTTGTATTTCGTAAAGTATGAATGGTTATCATTCTTGACGAAATGTTTGAAAAAAAGAGATTGCTATCAACGTCTATGAGACACTTAGTCCTATTCACTATAGACCTGGCCTGGGGGCCATAAAACTTAGACGAGCTCACTTTTGATCTTAGTCTCACTTTTTCGAAAGGACTACAGGGTATTTTAGAAAACATGCAACCATTTTGAATGATTACATTTTACTGGTGTTTCAAATAATACAATGCACCAACATATCAAATTAAACGTCACAATCTCAAGATTTATTATTATAAAAAAGAAGTTAATCTGGCAAACAGAGAATGAATTACAAAAGAAAAAAGAAATGTGTTAATAAATTTCAGTTATTTACAAATTATGTTCCAAATGGCATCAATTTTGGAGAATGATAAATCTATACGATGCAAGAAAGATCTCATTACTAGTGCAAAGGGCCTCTTGGTAATGAATCAGGTCTCATTTTTCGAACCATTTTGAATTAATTTGTTCTCTTGCAATTGGGTTATGTTTTATAAACTTTTACCTTTAGATATACCAACAGATAAAAGTCAAAAGGGGGGGGGGGGGTGATCAAGTGAGTGTTGAGGCCCACTTTTAATTAATGAATTTGAAAGAGTTGAATGGTCCTCCAATTATTAGTTATAACAAGTCCAAAGTTTAAGACTGAAGAAATATTTCAGAATCCCATATTACACATTTGAATAGCAATTTTGGGACTTCTGTCTGATGATTACCCTTATTAAATTCCACATTTAGAATGAAATTATCTGTTTTTCAGTGATGTTGAATGTGACGTCATAATTAATTCAAATGATTATAATTCCCTAAATTGTTATTATCAACAAAAACTGAAGCCATTTTTGCATAATTCTACATAAAACTTTCATATGTTTCTGTTTCATGTTTTCTGAAACACCCTGTATATAGTGGAAAAGTGAGATTGAGATAAAAAATGAGGTCATCTAAGTTTTTTGTAAAATTCTATCTGCTTCTTAAGATACACAAAAAGGCATGCCAGATCGCCCTTTATTTAGCGCAACTGGACACCCCACGGAGAAAATGTCTGAATACATACATTTACACCTCCCTCCACACGTAGAGAATTTTCCGTCCTATCTGAAGGACACAACGGACTACACAAACAAGACGCCCTCTACAATTCGTTTTAAGAATTCATTTTCATTAAGTTTTTGAAACTTAAACTGTAAAAAGGTAGATTATGCAAAAGACCCAAGAACCTAAATGGTCACCGGAGTAAAATGCAACAGTGTTAAGGATTCATATTTATATTGAAGTATATGCTAACTTATGCTAATTGAAACGAAAACCCTTAAAGATGTTCTTACTCCGTATTGCTGCCCCATCGCTATAAGCTTATTAAATTCTTCAAATTCTTTATAGGATAAATGTTTTTATCTCATACGTGTGGGTGATACAGGTCGTTGGATAAACTTATGCTTTATCAACGGGTAGATGCTTTATCAATAGCACTTCCGGTTTTGACACGATCCCTCGCTTCAAAATTTTATTTGAAACTTTTATTTGTGATCCTTATTATTGCCCTAATAAAATGAATGATAAAGAGCGATAATATCGTTAAAAGCAAGAAAAAGGCTCGTATATGTCAAAGAAGTGTCTTATTTTATCAAGGAACCTGTATTGGCTACTTGAAGACAGATGTTACCCCCCTCTTTAAATCGTTTTCGGAGAAAGTAAAGCCTAGCAGTTAAGTTGTTGTTATAAGACTCCTTTAACATCTTCAATAATGCTTTCTTATATTATACTACGTATGCCTACCTAGTAATTTAGGTGTAACTTACCATGGATCAACAATGAATCTACCAGTAAGCCCCTAGCCTTGTCTATCACATTTTGTACTGCCATCGTCCAAACGAGTTCATTTTCATGATCCAATGGTCCTTACAACTTTCAGTCAGAAGTCCGTTTGATGTAAAGCTCCAGCAATTGTCACATAATGTTTTCAAAGACGCAGATAGCAAAAATTCTAAATTTTGAACAAGATCTACTTTCTTTCGAGGGATGTCAACATCAACGGTGCTACGTCATCAAGTTGTACGTCATCAATTTGAATTTAGCAATCATTCATGTAGTTTCGCAGGGGAAGTCTCAAAGTTTTGTTAAAATGAAAGTCGTATGAGATAAATAGAACATCTATAATTGTGTGATTTGATATTGGCTTTATCCAACTCGTTGAAATAGTGTATATTCGCTCGGCAAGCCTCGCGAATATATACACCATTTCAGCTCGTTGGATAAAGCCAATATCAAATCACACAATATAGATATCCTCTATACACTATTTAAAAATAATAGGTTATGAACCAGTTCTATTTACTTGATGTAATGATCAAATGAGATTCAATAAGTTTTTAAAAATCCAAATTATTTTTTCATGAATAGATATCTTTGGGACTCTTTTAGCTTTTAGTTTTAAATACTAATTGTCAGGCCTTTTTTCATTGCAGCCCGGAGGACCGGGCTGCTCTATACATATAAGTTTAAGTGTTGGTATATGGGGATTGGGTTGGGAGTAGTTATTTAGAATTAAAGGTTTTCTAAACATTGAAAAGTTTGGTAATCAGAAGGTTCTTTCCGTTTATAAATTACGAGATACATAAGATATTTACTTCCATAAAGTGAATCTGTAAAAATATATATGTTTTCCATATTTAATATATAAAGTTGCTTATCATCTACTATCGAAAAAACGACAGGTCCCTTTTTTTAGAACATCAAATTTTACTTCTCGGATATAAACGTACTCTGCACAGTTCGTGTTTTATATTCTAAAATTGAAAATTAATAAATTTTTAAATGTAGGTGATTCGTGTGTCTAACTTCATTTTTTATTATTATGTAGCCAACATTTACTTGAGGAATTGATCAAATTTTAATACGGTATCGTTTTTGATTGATTTTTATCCGACTACAAGTTTTCAAAATATTCGCGACTATCGTCTTCATCAATTAGACGCTTGCCTTTTCACACACATCGAAGCGGTTTGATGATCAAGACTCATTTCCCTTTTCATTGTTTACTTTATATATTTCCCGGGCGACAATTGATGGTTACATCAATGTTTTCTTGTTCCTTTTTGCTACAGAGTTCGTGATTTGAGTGTGATGTATTTCCCAATATGTAAGAATGTAATCCATTGTAGAAATAACATCGGAATTATAAAACTTCATTGTTTTAATATGAATCTTCAGTTCTTCGGATCGTGAATATTTTTTGTGACAGACATTTGATCTGCTTAATATGCACAGTTACAGTTGACTACATGTAACGAAGTATCCAAAGTATAGAATGCAGAGACAAAAACGTGCTCTGCGAAATCTAAAATCTACGGATTAACATAGGTTTAGTTTGAGCAATATTTAGAACCATTTTATTTTGAGAGCACCATTTCTATACAAGCAAAATATTTCTTGATAATTTATTGACACTAGATTGAGAATCTCTCCCAGGGGGTGTAGAGTGGTATGGCCGGGAAATAAGTCTATGTTAACTTTTTAATACTTAAAGCAAGCCTTAGAGAAATTTTTCATACTATTTGTTATACCATTGTTTACACACTGAGTTGGACTTTTCCGCTTCACCGGTTATGACAAGGAGCACACGGCGGGTGTGACCGGTCACCAGGGTATGATCACTCCTCCATGCCACCTGATCCCACCTCTGATGTTTTTGAAGGTCCGTGTTTGCTATTCTCCAAGGTTGAATGGACTTTTGATCTTAAATACTGTTCGTTATCTCCATACCGCATTAATCATGACATAAAAAAGCAGATTCACATGATTTGTAGACGTATTCACAAGAGGGTCAGTGTGTGTGCAGTTGCATTGTGATGTCACAATCAATATATCAATATCTCTCTCAAACACCGTTATAAACAATGATTACAAGTAACAGCTTTTTAAAATGTTTGCCTGACTAAATCAATCAATATCTGCATGAGGAGTGATAAACCTTTTGAGCAATACTTTTGTTTTTGAGAACCTTGCGTAAATGAAATCTTGATTTTATTTAAATTTTAGAAGAATTATCTCTACACTGCATACTATTAAGGGTTGGTATTCTGTGGGGGTTTTCTGCAAGTGGAGTGATCTGCCCTTGGATCTTAATTGATTTCGAACTCCTTTTTAACACCTATTATAAAATCTGTTACCAAATCAACCATTGACAACATTCTAAAAGATGTAATTAATTAAATACACATTTTGTTGGAGTGTATTTTCTCCACTGAAGTAAACAGTAGTTATGTGTGTTAATTAATTTTTTTTATAAAAAAAAAAGGGGGGGGAGGGGTAGTCCCATTATCATTTACTGACAATGAAATATTAAGTAAATTCTCTACTTAGACCTGTGTGGAAAGAAAAATCTAAGATTTTACACTTGTTTCTTATCTATTGTGTGCATGTGAACAGAGGCATTGTTCATGCATCTAGAGACCACGACTGTTGAAATGCGTTGTTTTTTATTATTATTTGACTAGTCCATTTATGGAATAAACCGACCGCGGGATCGGGTAACAAATTAGAAAAATCATTTCTTTTTTAGTGTTGCATGTCCGTATACTGATATATTATACCCTATGTTGTTTAAAAGAATGAGATAAAACA